ATTAACCTACATGTAACTTTATAGAGCTTTGATTCAAAATCCATTGGCTTCAACGACAGAAGAGGGCTCTGCAAAATGAATCATCAAACACACTTCGAGATAGGTATCTGCAAATCAATGGGGAAGACGCTGGCAAAAGCAACAGGAGAGTAGGTAATTTGTAAACCATGTGTCCACAAGAGAGGGAGATGACTATCAGAGCATCACATGTTTTCCAGGTCAAACTAAGAATATCTCTAAATAAAATTCCTTAAATACGCCTGACAGGCTGACGAAGAGTTGCTAACTCCCACTTCTAAATAGTAGTAGTAAAATTTCACATTTTTTAATGCAAACAAGCGCCGATGATGGAATTGCATTCTAAAAGTTATCTAGTTTAAGATTTCATATGAAAATCACAGCATACATATTGAAATACTTTGCATTTTTCTTCCTTGATGATCTGCAAAATCCAGCTCGAATTTAAAAGAGAAATCAAGAAGAGACATTGACAATACGGGAGAAAAAGATCTAAAATCACGAGTGTCTACCATGAAATTTGCTTTCAGGTAAATTTTGATCAAAACTAGCTTCAATAAGCTTGGCATTCTTTGAAGAGAGAGCAATGAAGAGATTTTGGGAATGTTGGCACATTCTGGAAGAATTTCATGAAAGCTCAGGCGATGAGCTTTGTGTTTGTCAAAGACAAAGATAGGTGGATGGGAGGGGAGAGGGGGTTGGGGGAGAGTTGATAGAACTGGGAAAATTCATGTTTTACATACTCATTTTATTGCCACGTGCATTAATTACAATGACAAAATATTTGTTCTAAGAATGGATTCGCAAGTATAAGTAAACCAGAAACCATCAAATTCCAAAACTGTCCTCCAGTGTAGTGAATCATCTATTAATTTTTGTGAGGTCTGTTAGTTAAAGGGTTAAAATCACTCGCATCATTTAATTGAAGGTCAAAAGTGGTAAGTTAGATAACACAAAAGTAAAATCAGAATATAGCATTAATTCTGGGACTAAAAGTGCTATTTCCCCAAGTAATTTAACCCTTCGATTACTTTTATGAGCAAAGGGACTTGAATTACTGAAAAAGAGTAACCCAATACAAGGCAATTCCAACAGAAACATTGCACAGAAAAGAGGATATCTAAGGTGAATCCAGTGAAGATACCATTCGCCCAAAGAAAAAAAAACTATAAGCAGCATCTTCAAGAAGAGGACAGTGGGATCTTTACCTTACTACTCAACAACAACAACAAAAAAAACCAGTATAGTCTCACAAGTGGGTCTGGAGAGGGTAGATAGTACGCAGACCTTACCCCGAATGTAGAGAGGTATTTCCATTGGAAACTCGGCACGAGGAAAAATGAGAAAAGAGCAGCAGCAACATGCAATAACAAGAAAAACATAAAAGAAAACAAAGCGAAAGGAACAACATGAAGATAGAAATCTACAATATTAGAATACAATACTGCCACTAATAACACTAATAACACTGGAAATGTCCAGAAACCCGCACAACTACCTATTAACCTACAACCTTAATCCTCGGCCTCCGCACCTTCCTATTAAGGGTCATGTCCTCGGTCAGATGAAGCAAAGCCATATCTTTCCTAATCACCTCTCCCCAATACTTTTTTGGCCTATCTCTACCTCTTATAAGACCCACTAAGGATAACCTCTCACACCTCCTTACCCGGCATCTGTGCTTCTCCTCTTCACATGCCCAAACCATCTAAGTCTCGCTTCCCGCATTTTGTCCTCCATGGGGCCACTCCTACCTTAGCTCGAATATCCTCATTCTTAATCTTTACCTTACTACTCGAAATATAATTTGAAATGAAAGCAAGAACTACAGAGCCTAAATCAATCTGGTCACTGGTTTTCAATAACCCACATTACTGTCTAATGTTGACTGCTTTAGGTACCAAAAACAAGGCTATTAAGACGAGAAGTGCACAAGATGTAGAGCATCTAAATCATAAAATTCCAGAGAATCCAAGCAACGGGTAAAAAGATATATCGCATCTAACTGCTAGGCCATCCATTTTCTGGTACCATTCGCAAAGAAAGCAAACCAGATAATATAAGCAAGAAAGTGAGATGACCAAACCAGATATTTGAAAAGAAAATTTTGCAATTGCATCTTCGAAACCTTGCAACCACTAAGACAGTAAGGTTTTGCCCTTCTGAAACTTTGATGAAACCTCAAAGGTACTCTTGCAAACTGTCCATCCATTCCGAGAGACACTTACAATTCTAAAAGGCAACAGAAGTACCAATTTCTTATATCTGTAATTTTAAAAACTACACCTTACTCTACCTTCCTCTGGCAACAGAAACACAGAGTTTTTTTTTTTCTCTTTTTATTTATAAGTAACACAGACAAGATTTCTTTAGGAGCAGTAAATTCATGTGAAAAGAAAGTTGGAAACTTCAGCCAAAAATAAAAGCATGCAGTCCAGAATGAGAAAAGGATTCATACAATTGGTAGATACAATCGTTGCACATCTACCTCAACGAATCAATAGACAAGAAAATCCGAATACCTTATATTTCCAGTATAATTGATTAATAAAGGCAGTCAACAAAGAGAGGAAAATATTCTAGATAGAATTAAGAAACATCAAGGAAAATAGATACACACCCAAAAGATAAAAACAGCAATGAGATGTGACTTGGCAGCAATATCTTAGAGAGGATTGAGAGAACAATATCAAGAAAGAACCTCAGAAACAAAGAATCTGCAGTCTGCATCTTACCACAAAAGAATCTTCCTTTTCACCTCTACCTTTGACGTACGCATCATGCACCTCAGAATCCTCAGATATCATTCCTGAAAGACAGTACATACTTCTATAGAGACTTTGATTCAGAACATGACATAACGGTGTAAAGCCTAGTTAATCTGGTAAAATCCTAGTGGAAACCTAAAAGATTCTCTCTCACTTTGTTGTCCCTATTCTCGTAAAATAACCTTGTTAGCCTACGATTACTGATTTCCAAATTGTCCCCACCCACTATGTTATTAAGGAAAAAATGACAATGATATCAGTACATAAATGATTTTCTGAAGTATTTTGAGCCAAAATTTCTTGTATCATTTATCTCAAGTGCCCTGCTTAAAAGAGGCAATTGCCTATGGTCTCTTTCAAAAAATTTCAACCATAGGCCACTTGCAACATGTAGAACCATTATGTTTGTTATGCAAACAAAAGCTTCTTCATGCCCACTCTTGATCAAATTGAGAGAAGACACTCCACGAGACATGCTGAAGTAGTCCACCTCTCCTAAATAGTGAAGATACAAACACAAATAAAACTATGTTTGAAGTGCAAAACTCAACCAAAGAAAACAAGAAATTTCAGCAAACTAGAAGATATATTCTCCAGAATGAGGATAAGCATTTATATGACGATGTTATCGAACCAAAATTTCTCCACAACTTTTCTTCTCCATTTACCAACAAACTAATTATTTCACAACGATTCTTCTCCACTAACCAAAAGCATCTTTTACTTTAAACTGAGAAAGCCTGCAATTTGCGGTGTTAACCTATAACATTGGCTAAAGCCTGCAATTTGCAATGTTAACCTATAACATTGGCTTGACAGTAATAAAATGTAAATTAGCAGTAAAAAGCTTGAGTATCTTGAAAGGACGGCAAAGCGATCCCAGTGATAAGTGGTTGATTTTTTTTGGATCCTAACTTTAGTTGGAGTAATACAGACATCATTATATATTGGATGCTGAAATTAGTCATTTTAATTGCAATTTGACAATGACTACTACATTCATATATGGTTAGTAATTTTTTATTTTCCGTAACTTGTGCACTTCAGTTACTGCTTTTTGCTTCGAGCCCCATGAATCTTGTCACTTTGTTGCGTTTTTCCCTTTTAAAACACTGAGGTTTCCTATCTAAGTCATACCAAAGAGCTAATAAAGTGAATTTTTTAGGAGACCAATAAAGTGATTATACGTCTCCATTTTCATCTATTTGCAGAGAGCCAATAAAGTGATTATACATCTATATCCAACCTTTAAAGTAAAAAAGAGTCCATTTTCATCTATTTGCAGAAAACATTGCGCAGACAGTGAAAAAATTTCCATATAGCTAGCATAAAAATTCAAAAAAAAAAAAAAAAAACTTTTTGGTGAAAATGGAAATGTTTCTGGTACTTGCTTAGCATAAGTAATTGTGGAAAATTTGGCAAGAGGGTGGACTTTAGCAGTTACACCTACAATTCCATCTCAAGACACAGTGGAATAAAATCTTTCCAACAAAAGTCTATTTTACTTGTGCTGCAGTATGTGTTGGCAGTCACTTAATTTTTAGCTTAGTTATGCTTCTCTACACACAGATCTACCCAAGCTGAGAGAAGATACTACATATATATTCCAGAAGCAATTCACTGGGTCAAATAGGGCTTTTGGAAGACAAGAGGGGTTGCTCTGATGGTAAGCAATCCCCACTTCCAACCGAGAGGTTGTGAGTTCGAGTCTCCCCAAGAGCAAGGCGGGAAGTTCTTGGAGGGAAGGATGCCGGGGGTCTATTTGGAAACAGTCTCTCTACCCTAGGGTAGGGGTAAGGTCTGCGTACACACTACCCTCCCCAGACCCCAGTAAGTGGGATTATACTGGGTTGTTGTTGTTGTTGTTGTTGTTGTTGTAAATAGGGCTTTTGGACTTTGGAGGATATTTATTATCTTGGCCATCACATGACAACAGAAGAACCAATAAAGTTATTACAAGCAGTAAAGCAGAATATCTTATTCCGACTGAGAAAGCGATGCCGTCAGAAAAATGCTCCACTTTGTAGAAACATAAATATTTAGTCTCTTTGTTCATTTTGAAATCAAAGAACATCATCTTTTGACTTCAAAAAGATAAATTGCCTAATTAGCAACGAAATATGAACCAAACAGTAGCTTTGAGCTCAAAGAAAAACATGAAAGGAACAACAAATCAATAAAGTTGGTAAAACTCAAAAAACTAAAGATGCCCCATTAGCTTCTACATTTGACGTATAAATCATACACCTCAGGCATCTCATCCTTAAAAGGAAGCACATAACTCTCTAAGAACTTCAACTCAGACCATAGCACAACAGTGTAGAGGCTCCGACTACAATTTGTTAGCTTCTTCTGGCTGACTAGCTTCAAAATGTTATGTCTAAGCATAATCCTTTTCTCCAAGCTATAAGTAAAAAACGTGGGGTGAGAAACCAGGTAATTAGATTCATATCCGAGTTCCTTCATAAAAAAACTTAACGCATTTTTGAGCTTGTCTTCTGATTTGCTGAAACAGGCAGGATGTTTTTGAACCAATGTAAAAATGTCCGAGTCAGACCACCCAAAACTCCTGAAAATTCCAAATTTCTTTTCCAAAGTCGATTCTTTGAGAGATGCAAGTGCATAAATTCCATAGAGAAACATGGGGCAACCCCGAGAAATGTGATATTTTTTTTCTACTCGACTCACTACGTCTTCGAGCCACTCAGTTTTTTGAACTAAAAGCACAGGATTCCAAAACATAAGCTTCTCTATATCCACACATGATAACCCAATATTTTGCAGGAACGATATATTGGGTGGCATTACTTCATGAAGAGCATAAGCAAGCACCATATGATTTCTCTTAATGATTTTAACTACAGAATCATCATTACCCAATAGTTTCCGAAGATAATCAACATTTGGTCTGGTATAACAGTCTACCCTTGTGGTGAAGAATTTCCCACTGTTGGAAATAATTTGGACAAGATCCGACACGGAAAAGCCAAGTTCTTGAAGTACTTCAATTTTGGGTTTAAGGTGTTTATTTACATCACATAGCATCAATGCAGGGACTGAAGAAACAAGTTTTTTGATGTGGGTTTTATCTAAACCAGATTTTTCGAAGAAATTAAAGACTAATAGAGGCTTATATTTTCTGGGTCTCAAGCGACTTACCTTAACGCTTGTAGATATGGCTTCTTCTGTAGAGAACCCAAGTGAGTTCACCAGTGTTTCCACCAAATGCTTGGTGTGAGAATCTGCCGCAGCTGTTGAGTAAAATGCATGAAATCTGAAGCGATAAATGTAGAGGAGATGCATAACACCATTGTTTCGAAATCCGGACATCTAATCAAGCAGAAGCTTAAACCCTAAATCCTGGTAGTAGTGCAAAGTATTTTCGGTCACTTCGTGTTTTTTAGGACGGTGTTTGCCTGGGGCGCGTGAGTGGATTGTTCCATCCATTCTAATTTAATACTCTATAATTAAACAATATTAATCATATCAAAGAATGATCTGATTTGTTTGAGCAAGTTAGATATAATTATTGTATTAGATATTTTTACATACTTATACACTATTAAAATTTTTATTACCCTACCATAAGGCTAGCAAATGGGCCGGTTAGGCCTGGGACCGAACCAGGCCCGCAAGCCCATTAGGGTAATGGGCCTAACCAGATAGGACCGCGACCAGGGGGAGGCCTGCTAAGTGGGCCGGTTAAGGCCAAAAAATCGTTAGGACCCGACCGTTTGGGCCCGGGATCGGTTCCTAAATAGGCTAGCAAATGATTCGATTAGGTCGGGGACCGGACCAGGCCCGCGAGCCCATTAGGGTAATGGGCCTAATCGGACCTAATCGGATAGGACCTGGACCAGGGGTGGGCATGCTAAGTGGGCCGGTTAAGGCCAAAAAATCGTTAAGGACCGGACCATTTGGGCCCGGGATCGGTTCCTAACTGGGCTGGTTCAACCGGTCCCAAACGGGCCCAACGGCTAAATTTTAAAAAAAAAATCCCTCAAAAAAGTTTGACCGTTGGGTCATTTAAAATATGGTCGTTGGGCCTGCAAAAATAGTCGTTTGGGCTTTGCAAAATAGCCATTTAACCCCCCTCTCCAACTTTGTTTTGACCCCAAACTTTTAATAATTACATTTTTTCTCTATTTTTAATTGTAAATACCTCCTCATTCTTTCATTTTTCTCACAAAATCATCAATCTCTCTCTAATTTTCTTCAATAATTGGTTACTTTATTGTTGTAATTTGTATGAAAAATTGTGAAGTTGGTGAATTGAAGTATTCAAGTCTTCAAAGATAATTAATTTTCAACAAGTTGTTCGTCAATTCGATAAACCCGTTCCAACTCTTTAGTTTTAGTATTATAGTTTTGTTTGTTTTATTTACTTTGTATAATTCAACAAGTTGTTCATCAATTCGGTACACATGTAGATTTTTTTAGAAAGATTTCATGTTGCTACAAATAAATTTTCTGGACAATATTATCCTACTATTTCAAACTGTTTAGTTTATCTTGCAGAACTTACAAATTTGTTTGCTTATTTTTCAGAGGGTGGAGAAATTTATGAAGAAGCTATTGATTATATGAGAAAGAAATTTAAAAAATATTTTTTCCCTATTTCCCATATTTATGGTGTTGCTGCTTTATTAAATCCTACTATGAAATTAGGAGGTCCTCAGTATTGGTATCAATCTATTTATAATGGTTTAGTACTTGAAGATGAGGAGTTATCTACACTTTCGGACGCAAAAGCCTCAATTAAAATAAATGCTCAAACTATTTATCGTGCCTATCAAATTGCAATAGATAATGCTAGACCAAATGTTCCAACTCCTTCTTCTTCTAGTTCTCAATCATCTAAAAGAACTGCAGAAGTAAGAACACTTACTGCTTGGACCGAGTTTAGGGGTTTTCAAGGTTGTCCCAGTAGTGATTGTTCACAACTAAATGAGTTTGAAGTTTATTTGTCGCAGGTACTTGAGAAAGTGAATCCCGACGGCTTAGTAATGGTTTAGTACTTGAAGATGAGGAGTTGTCTACACTTTCGGACGCAAAAGCCTCAATTAAAATAAATGTTCAAACTACTTATAGTGCTTATCAAATTGCAATAAATAATGCTAGACCAAATGTTCCAACTCCTTCTTCTAGTTCTCAATCATCTAAAAGAACTGCAGAAGTAAGAGCACTTACTGCTTGGACTGAGTTCAGGGGTTTTCAAGGTTGTCCCACTAGTGATTATTCACAACTAAATGAGCTTGAAGTTTATTTGTCACAGGTACTTGAGGAAGTGAATTCCGACGGCTCATTTAATCTTTTAGAATGGTGGAAAGACAAAGAAAAATACTTTCTGATCCTTTCAAGGATGACCTGAGATATTTTAACCATTCAAGCTTCAACAGTGGCATCGAAGAGTGTTTTTAGTCAAGCAAGACTTCAACTTGGTGATTATAGAGCGTCTATGAGGGAGAGCTTGAAAAAATCAGTACTTTTCAGAGACTGGATCCGTTCGGAACGAAGAAATTTTGGACTTGCTGAATCACAACCAGAGGTAGACGAAGCTTACGAAGAAATGCTAGCTGAACTTGCGAAGGAT